GTTTCTAACACAAGTTACTGATCAAGTGAGAAAGGCTGTACTTTGCCTCTTTCCTTTCTTTCTAAAATACACAGTATTTGAAATTTCTGGTTGAAAAACACACAGTAGATGACAGACACTGAGGCCAACTGGGGCCCACATTATCCCGCTCAGCTGCCTGCTGAGCTCTTCAAAACTGTGTATCTCACTGTCATTTCCGATGCCCACACAAGCACAAACAATGCACAAAATCAGGGTAATCCAGTTCCACTAGAGAGCTCCCGGCAGCCCGTGGCAGGCCTGAAGGTCTCTGGGCAGCAAGTACCAGCAGAGGCAAGCCCAGATAGGGAAGCCACATAGAACTGGGACATACTTACACTAGGAACTTCTTCACTGTTTATCCGAAATGCAAACTTAATTGAGTGTCCTATATTTTTATTTGCTAAGTCTGACCCAGATGAAGGGGCCTTATCTGCAGGCCATAAAGCCCTGAGTGCCGCCTGAAAGTCTGACTAGGCCAGGTCTGCTGAGGCCACCAAAGCATATGTTCTGATACTGAAGTCCCCTCTGGGATCACTGGGTCCCCACTTCCTGCTCAAACAGAAGCCAGTGTCCAGGGCAAACGTTTTTGCCCTCCCTATCCCCAAGAAATAGAAGCTCAAGGGCAAAGGCAGCCGGGCGTACAGTGTGCCAGTGCAGCTGGGTTTCTGCCAGCACCCCCTCCCTTTTTCTTTTTAAAGATCTGGCCTTCGTTATTCACAGTACATCAAATTTCCACCCCCTTCTCAATGTTTCCCTGCTGCTGTGCAGCTCTGAAAGTTTCTGTCTTTGAAGGAACAGCCCTGAGTCTCATCTCATCCTGGGAGACATTATTCTCCTCCACCTTCTTTCAGACTGAATGCCTATTAAGGGCCCCCATGGTGAATCACGGAGTCTGAATCTAGGCACACGGAGCTGTTTGAGAGGATGTGGGGAGGAGCTTGGCACAGGAGGCCAAAGCAAAGCATCTGCTCATTCACATATCTGCTGAACGATCCGCTGTGGGCCAGAGACCCCAGGGAGGGCACACAGGAGAAGCTTATTTCAAAAACCAAGGTTAGGACAGGAAAATATCCTCTTTCCCTGGGTTAGCAACTTAGAACAACGAGTACTTCACTTAGGTGATTCGGGCCAAGAGGAAAAAAAACCAGCCCACTTTTAAAGCATTATGCACAACTTTGGGAACAAATCAGTGCTTGATTTACTTCAGATATTCCAGCTACCTAGCACGGCCCAGCACAAAGAGGTTTTGAAATGATCTGCTGAAATGGAAACTTGGCTGATAAATACATGTGACCTCTCTAGCCAATCACAAGTTATGTGTGTAATGAGGCAAAAAAGCAGCACAGACCACTTGAAATCTCTTTTCAAGACACTTTAGTAATTTGTAACTTTTTTCCTTTCAGTTGGAAACAAGTGGCAGAAAGATAGATTTATTTCCTTCCTGTCCCTGCCCTGTGAGGGATACCAATATATTATGGAATTGTCAGAAGATGGCGGGAGATGGGATGACTTCTGGATTCAGCGTAGGATAAAGGATGGGGGATATTTTCTTACATAGTTCTAGACAACTCTTGTTTAATGAGATGCAGGAACAAAAGCCCAATTCTGATATAAAACGCACATTTCTCTCAAGAATTTTATATGTAACACTCTCCCCCTATTTGCTGATGCAGGGCTCAATTCCTCTCCCAGCTGACTGAGGCTAAGGGAGAGTTCCCAGTCAGTGTGGGGACTGCCAAGACTTTGGCAGGCCTGGGGCAACGCGCCAGCCCAGGGCTTCATTTTGTGACTCAGCATTCAGTATCCTAAAGTCACTTCCTGAGTGGCATGCTAGAAATGTGGCAAGTGATGTGAACTACCTAATGAACTAGACAAAGGTTCTGGTGCCTAATAGAGAAAAAGGATAGTAGAGACCCAGTCTAAAGCAGGAGGGTGTTGGCAGAGCTACATATGATTGCTAAATTTAGTATTAAGGGTTCTGGCTAGGTGCAGGCAAGGGTAAAAATCCAAAGAGAAAAATCACCCTCAGGTTTTTTTTCGGTCAGCAAATGCTGGACACTGTGGAAAAGTCTATAGTTCTTTGCTTTAAAGTTACCTATTCTAGGATTTAAATGATGCATCAGAAGAGTAACAGTGGCTGCCAAATTGTCCTTAAGAGGCTCTAATTAGACTGTAAGTTCATGGAGGACGGGAGCTGGGTCTGCATCCTGGCCCCAGTGTAAACGGGCGCTTCCTGCTCTTTGAGGAGCCCACCCGGCTCATGAGTTATTGATAAAGGCAAGGCATTTGTTGTGGCAGAGCTCACCAGTTTCGCTTCAGTTTTCCCTCTGAAGTTGGGGAGTCAAGGGTTTTTTTTTTGTTGTGGTTGGTAAGCCAAAAGAAGAGAATCTGTGAAATTAAATCTCCAGGCCTCTGAAAAGGATCCAGATCAAGTCAGTACTTTCCTTTGAGGGTTTATTATGAGCCATTCTGAGACAGGAACAAACCTTGACAGCCTCCAAGTGCCCCCAATTTCATTAGAAAGATCGAAATCTCACATCTGGAAGACAAGCGACGCCTAGTGCCACTTTCTCTTAGTCTCTCTGGGTAAATAGTGAAATCCTGGCCCAACATCTAAGGAAAGAGTTAGTTCTCTGAAAAAGTGAACTGAAGATGAGTTTTTAAGCCAATAACCTGTCACAGGGTCATGACTTCTGGGCATAAGCTGTAATCATGGGTACATGACAACCTGATGTTGTAGCCTTGCAAATTCAGCCTGTTTCTCATCTCTGCACAATCCGAGGCCTGTGCCCAATCACAGAATCAGCTGGTAGGACAAGAACTGGGATTTGCTCCATCTGAGGCCTGGCCCTTCTGGTATGAACCTAGTTATCTTATTTCTCCTACAAATGTCTCTCTCAGCAAGTCCTCAACTGCCAACCAGTGACCACTTTTCTCCCAACTCACAGCTCCCCTAGCAGCGTAGCTCAAGGTCTGGCTGCTTTTCTCTCCCTTCTCATTTTAGGACTCATCTACAGGTCAAAGAACCTCATCTCCTGGATGCAGGGCTGGTGTGCAGTTCTCTCTGGGACAAGTAAAACTGCACGATGCAAGGAAAGGTAAATCCACGATTCTCATGGGATAGTGAAGAAGAGATAAGCCAGGAGCAAACACATTCACAACTTGAGCCTTCTCATTTGTGGCACTGTTATATTTCTATCTGCAAGTAAAATCTAGCATCAGAAAAACAAAGCACTAAGTCGCACTTTATGAAAAGTCCACCGAGTACTCTTATGTTTATTTTTGAGACAGAGTCTCACTCTGTTGCCTAGGCTGGATCATCATCATCATCATCATTATATATTTTTGAGACAGAGTCTCACTCTGTTGCCTAGGCTGGAGTGCAGTGGCATAATCTCGGCTCACTGCAACCTTCGCCTCCCAGGTTCAAGCAAATCTCCTGTCTCAGCTTCCTGTGAAGCTGGGATTACAGGTGCCTGCCACCACACCCAGCTAATTTTTATATTTTTAGTAGAGATGAGGTTTCATAATGTTGGCCAGGCTGGTCTCGAACTCCTGACCTCAGGTGATCCACCTGCCTCGGCCTCCCAAAGTGCTAGGATTACAGGTGTGAGCAATCCCACCTGGCCAGGAGTACTCTTTTTTAAAAAGCACTATTAAATCATTTGATTAGCTTAAATCAGCATATTTAAGCAGGGCACAACTTGCTAAATCAAGTCCTCTGAAGGGCTCACATTTCAAGACTTTCTAGTAAAGCTCAATTGAAGATAGGGTGACAAGATGAGACTAGAGGAGGAAGGCAGAACACAGCTCCACTGGCCCTCAGGCTGCATCCTCCCTGGAACATGGAATCCTACCGATAAGCAGCAGTTGGTCCCATTATCTACAGATTATTTCTTCCCAAAAGAAAAGGTAACAATTATTTTAACAACTGGGGGACGGTGGGGATGACCACACCCTGTGACAAGACAGAAACTTCTCCTTACAAGCAAAGGCATCTTTGGGGACCCTTTGGGGATCTTAACATTCTGCTGGGAAAGAGTCTACCTCAGGGATCCATCCATCAAACCAGCAGAGCAGACCGCTGCCCAGTGTCTCAAGGCTCGTTGGCCCATTAAGGAACAAACACGACCTAATTTCCTCTCTGGTTTAGTTCAGGGCTTTGGGATTGTTGGTGGGGGAAACGGAGCAAATGATGGGTGACAACTACTGCTCAGGGAGCAAACACCCACAGTGCTGATGCCATGTGGTGGTCTGGATTCTGTACACTGCAGACTCAGCATGTGACCCATGAGCTTGCCTGGCCAATTACCTTCATGAATGGGGAAGAGCGATGGGGGTCGTCTGAGCAGAGGAACTGACCACCAGAGAAGGGAAAGACAGGTTTAAACTTATTTCTAGGAGGGATGTGTATAAGCCTGAGCAGTCAACTCACAGTGGAGCAGTTACAGAGGAGTGCAGTGGCAAGGTTTACCCCTTCCTCAAGTGCAAGTTGGGGCACCTGCAACCTTCTTTCTTAAGGCTTTTTCTAGGTCTATGCTTTTATCTCCACTGGGATTGCAAGAGAACAGCAAACTGATGAATCCTGCAATCAGAGCTGATGATTTGGGGGATGGTCTTGGACCATCTGGACTTAAGTCACACCCAAGAAGAGGAGGACATGGAGTGCTTGATATTTCACACACAAATCTTACATCTTCTAAGGCTGAGGTTGACTTTCACATTCAAATAAAAATGTGAAAATGAATCGTGACTCTGCTATATAGAATATTATATCTAAATAAAAGTAACTCCCAAAGGCTTTGTTTCCTGGCTCATTTTGGGTAAATTTTTAATTATTTAAGGTCAATTTAACCAAATAATGAATATCTACATAGCCTCTCATTCCCTGGCCCAAGAGCTAGTGACAGCATTCCCCATTACACAAATAAAAATGTAAACAAAATTTCAAAGGAAAAAAAAAAGAAAATAAAAGAATGTTGAAAAGAAATACAAATCAAAGAAATTTATTGGTGTTGACAAAAATACATAATACAGAAACCAAAACAAAACACAACAGAAACAAAACCAGAAACCCCACCCTAGTGGGCCCATGTGCCTGATGTACTGACAGCGTGCCGACCCAGATGTCCCCAAAGCATGGCACTTAATTCATGAGGACCTCCATCTGCACCAGCCTCGCATTGGTGTCCCCAGACGTTCGGTAGGGTATCATTCCAGCAAAGGTAATCAGAGTTCGGGCTTGACTTCGGAGTTGCTGAGAGAAAAGGGAAGGAAGCAAAGGAAATTGGTTAACTTTTGAGTCAGGGCACTATTCCATGTTCTTCCATCCTCCACCCTGGGGTGTCAGGGACAGATCCCTGGTGGGTGGATGACAGTCGTACCCTCCTCTGTCGTATTCCTTCAGCATGACACAAAGTTAACAAAGCTCGTCCCCCGAGGCCCCTGTTCCACAGGCATCCAAACCCATTTACTAAGCAAAAAGCAGATGGGTTTGCCAGGCAAGCCGCCTCGCCCCAACACATTTGGCTAGCTTTTGACACAGCCCTGAGCTTCAGAACTGCCTGCTCCAATTTTCAGAGCCTCTCTCTCTGGCTGGTTTCTGTCCATCTGCTTTCACAGGGATCTGAGTCTCCAGAGCCCCATGAAGCCCTTGTAACACCGGAGGCAAGGGCTGTGACTGTGCAGTCCCACGCCGGCTTTCTTCCTCCCATGCATCTTTCCTCTTCCTTCCTTTCGTTCCTCCTGTCTTCTCCCTTCCTGACATACATGCTTAGCCCTTCTTTCCCCAGGCAACAGTATTTATGGAACTCCTGGATTGTTCCAGGAGGGAAAAAGGTGGCCCTACAAATTTAAACCAAATCTGGACTAGAAAGGGAGAATCTACAAACACCTTTCTGGACTAGTAACAAGAATTTAAAGAAAAACTGAAGAGTCATCTACTAGGCTTACTTAAGGACCATTCCAGAAGAAAATTGAAAAGCAAATGCTTTTTACCTGATGTGTAAAACAAACTAGCGAGTGTATGTCCTTACTAATGTCCAAACAAAAAGAAATCTGACTTTGTGATAGGAATACCCATTGTATTTTCTTTAGAAGTGAATGAAAGTGCATGGGCTCTTTGAAATGAGCTCTAGGGATGTTCAAGTAAAAGGATTCACTCCCTTACTGGGCAGTATCTCACTTTAAACCATGAAACCAAGGACATCAGTGGGCTTGCAGACCTCTTGGGCACGCAACTTTTATATATAACCTTTTACTTAATCCTATTCGCCCCTACCTTTCAGAAAAAGAAAGAAAAAGGAGAGTGGTGGGCAAAAGGCAGGCAGGAGAATGATCTTCAGACATGGGACATGGCCTGCCAGGGACCAGCTCCTCTCAGTGGGCAAGTCTGCCTGAACTGTAAGTGGCACACAGAGCACCAAGAAGTATCCACTATCTCAATACTCACATTCACAAACATCACTGCACTGGGTTTCTATTATCAAAAAAGATTCCTGCCAAGTGGTAGGCACCATGAGCCCACCGCTGGCACATCTGGCGTTTAGATTCCTATCTGTCCAGGGTAGGGAGAAGACCAGCAAATGCTCTGGTGCGCACCTGGACGGGCTGACCACTTCAGTGGACCACTCTTGAGCACTGTTACCCACATTCCTAAAGGTGGAAATTTCCACCATCTTTCACAAGTTTTATCAACAACAATGCCTGTGGGGTCACAGTGGAAAGAGCTCACAGACATCCTCAGAGGCAGAAGACAGAACAAGGCTTCTTGGCTGCCAAAACCAAGTCTGATGTTAGACACTGAGATCCTGAGAGTCTCATCAAAAATTAAGTGGAAATGTTAAAGGAAAGGTAATTTTAAAAAACATCATTGTCGGGCTGGGCACGGTGGCTCACGCCTATAATCCTAGCACTTTGGGAGGCCGAGGTTGGGGGGATCTCTTGAGCTCAGGAGTTCGAGATCAGTCTGGGCAACATGGCAAAACTCCATCTCTATATAAAGTACAAAACTCAGCTGGGTGTGGTGGTGCACACCTGGAGTCCCAGCTACTTGGGAGGGTGAGGTGGGAGGGTGGCTTGAGCCCAAGAGGTGGAGGCTGCAGTGAGCTGAGATCATGTCACTGCATTCTAGCCTGGGCGACAGCACCAGGCCCTGCCTCAAAAAAAAAAAAAAAAAAAAA